CACCAACTGATTGCAGAATAGCTACGAGACTACCCGCAGCGGTAGCACCACCTTGCAATGACATCATCCATGCTGCAGTTGATCCAGCTGCTATACCACCTGAGCCGAATCCAAGCGCACCTACTAAACCGACAGCTACAGGTGGGCCTAATACAAGGCCGCCCACGGTTAATGCACCAACTGTGGCTTTTGGGTTGTCAGAAGTTAATTGTTTTGCTTTTTCATAAAAACTTTGAGGCGGAGGTAGAGATGGAAGGGTAGGTATATATCTGTTTTTCACAAAAGATTCAAGAATGGTTTCTTTAAAGATATTTGAGTCCGAAAGTTGTGCCATTTTTTTTTAGAGAAAAATTCATTGTTTACAATGGTCGCAGAAAAAATTTTAATTTTAAAAAAAGCAGGTAATTATTTTTTGGGGAAGGGGAGTTTACATAAAAGGGCCCGAAAAATGAGAATAATTACAAATAACGATAAGGGCCAAAAATAAAAATAATCACGTATAGAGGAATTGCGAAATATTTTACAATCAAAGTTTATCGTGACTATTTAGATTGCGAGAAATACTGTACAATATTTAAAATTATTTAATTTTCTTTTGACGGTTAAATGTATTACTTTTAATCAGTATTGCATCTATTCTCTTAATGTCTTATGTGTAGGAATTTTGCCAATTTCTGAAAGTAATTTTCTTTGCGAATACAAATGAGTTTTTGCGGTTCGATTAACAAGTTCATGATGCATATTTTATAACTAAGATAGTCTTTTTAGTTTAAAATAGAGCGAACATTACAATATTGATAAATACAGTATCATGTTTAATCTAGTCAAACCGCACCTTGGTTAAAAGAAGGTTTCATTAAACGAAAGGGAATAATGTAGTATACGTATAAAATAGCTGATAACATTTAAATATTAAATTGTAAAATTTTTCAAAATTTGGGACCCTATGTGCAATTATTTTCACTTTAGACCTTTCGCTTTTGGCCCTTATTTTCATCGTCGGGCCCTTATATGTATATTCATCTGATTTTTCTTCGAACCCACATGTTTGTTTATAGAGTTAATGCGATGTATAATCACGCAGCACATTGAAATAAGTATCTATACGATTATCAGTATGTATGTACTGTACGTTAGAGTGTCCAGAAATCTGCGGTGGCAGAACTGCGCAGAATTCTGCTCTTGTCCTGCTCGCCGAATAATAACCTATTGGTGGATACAGTCTATTGTGTTTAAAATTAGATTTTCTTTTTGTTTGATTTTTTTACTGATTTTGATTTTAAAGTATTATTTATATGTCGCCGCAGAATCTGCAAACTTAACGGAAATCGCAGCAGAATTTTCCAGTTAAAGCAGCAGAATTCTGGACACTCTACTGTACGTACGTACAGTACGTACGTACGTAACATATCTGATATGGGCGAATATGCGGAATCATGCGGGCCCATGCAACAGTGGACTTAATACACCAAAAATTTCTATGGAGGGTCAGGTTGTTTGACATTATGCTTGCCTACTTTCAATTATTGATTTAAACTTTCGAAAACAAACTGGGCAAGATACCAATAAAATAAATATTAAAATTTTTTGAAGAAGTGGATAATCGTAACTCATATTTAAAGACATCTTATGTTCTTTGCATTAACGATTAGCGAAAGTATTTATATAAAAGAAGAGTTACACAAATCACTCTTTTAAAGGTAACAATATACAATTGATGTCAAATGATATGTTCTAGTAGGGCAAATAACATGTCCAAGTAGAGTTCTAACCAATAGAAAAGAGTTGGGTTTTGGGCTGAGGCAGTTGTGTTAGACGCATGATTATGCATAACGATAACCATTATATCCTTAAAATTATTGCATAGCTTTAAATTATTAGGGTACAAGGACCAATTAAATATAGAAAATAGGGTTCAACTTAAAATTTTATGTCTCTATCTGAGGCCTAATTCCGCCGATTCGCCTATATGAGTTAATTCAAGAAAGATTTGATTTTCATTGTACATATTTATAGGGGAGACCGTGTCGAATCCACATGCGAAAGAAGGAAAAAAAGCAAAGAAAACGAAAAAACTCGAAAACTAATATCCAATTTGACCTTGGTACACAAATTAAAAAATGTCAGAAATAAAATTTTATATACAGGAAGTGACTGACACTTTGTCCCTACATCCCTCAAACTAAAATTTCTATCTTCACGTACTTGGATTATTTCATGCTAAATTTCATGCTTTTTGGGGGTTTATATTACTCACGAAAACACGTAATTTCGATCTTACCTGCGTGCATAAATTAGTCGTGGCGAATGACTAGTGTCATCATAAAAATTTCACGTTCGCGTGATACCAAAAAATACTTTAAAATTTGTTTATGGGCTGGTATTGGTGGGATATGAAGTAAAATTGCTTGAGAGAAACTTTTCGTTAGAGCACGAAAGGTGATTTCTTATGCAAAATTTTAAGATGCGATCACGTGAACGTGAAATTTCAGTTTGTAAAATAAAACATTATTTAACCCAAGCTGCTTTTTCTACATCTTGTCCTTACTCTAACACGAAAGAACCTAACTCCAACCATTGAATGAGGGCTATCTATAAAAAATTATATGGCCAAATTAATTCTAATTTTCCGTGAGATGGCGAAATTATCGCGTCCACGATTTTGCGAGATAAATCATTTGATTAGGAAAATTTTGATATCCTAAAATGATAAATCGAAAACCTTACATCGTTACTACGTATAATAGACTCTAATGATCTATAATGAGCTCTAACAATTACAAATCGGAATATTACATAATTCATCATTACGATTTGCATCATATGCTTATACTAATCGCAAAATAAATCACGACAATACGATCATTCAAATTTACGCTTCATGCTCGTTTAGAGACCCCAATACTTTCATATTAGGCAGCTAATAATTTGTTTTAAATAACGTCCATGCGCGTCCCGAAATAACGCGTACTTCATAACAATTTTGCTCATGTTTTTAACTTTCATAATAAAATACTTGTGCATGTTACCGTGAGGAATCTTCTCGGTTATCATATGCAATTTTTAGTTAATCGTGAAGAATGGCTATTACAATAGAAGAAATTCGCACATTATCATACTTATATGTAATCGTGAAGGCCCTTCACGATTAGAAAATTTTATTATTCAAAATAACGCGTAGAAGCCCGTTATTTCAAGGTAGTTATAAAGTGTGTATAACGATAATAATTTTAGCATTGAAAAAATAACTGCAATCTTATTTGGTGGCAATATGGTTGACAATGGAAAGCTACTGAACGGTAGGGATATTACGGTCCGTTCCGGTCCAGTCTTGGTCCTAAAGACCGGTACAGTCATCTAATATTACATTCAATTCCAGTAAGCAATACCATAAAATACTAGCAGAGGACCACGGACCGGTCCACAAACCGGCTAATAAACTGGGTTATTAAAATACGTTATATATTAAAAGGATAAACGTTAATCGATGTTGGCATTGCTAAGTTTACTAGGTTATATGTATATAAAAGTTTGATTTTTATGTTTATTGGTTTGTAACATGCTAAATCAACATGGTTTGGCATATAAATATGTCTTATCTAAATTTATCTAATACTGTATTTCGGTAAGACTTATTTCATATTTTTGATTTATCATAAATCCTGGGACAGTTGAAAAAAGTGCCAATGACCAAATTGACAAATTACTGAGTCAAAATCATTAAGTTACTGAATTAGGTCGACATTAGAAACCTATAGATGCGGTCATCGGCAATGTTTTTTTTTTTAGCCAGACAATGAGATAATTCTATGGTATATGGACAGGTTCAGACCAGTCCGGACCATGGTCTTTGCAGGACCTGCTGAAAGGTTACTGAAAATCACTAGATGTCAAAATTAATAATATCTGTAGAATTTTTACTATTAATAAGCTTTACTGGTCGAAATATACATATAATATTAACACGAGTGATGTCGAATTCAAAATTCTCTTTTTGTGTGTGACATTACAGCATTGCTATGATATTTAAATTTATATTTATTAAAAATAAAGCCACAATTCCAAATACCGTAAAACTCAGACAATAAGCACCTCACTCTCTACCTAGAGATGCAAATCGGCTCATCGGCTCTATTGATTAATCGGTTTTTATTATACTGAATATACAAGCCGATCGAGCCGTTTTGCATCACTACTTTTTCAACCTCAGATTAGCGGAAATAGCAATAAAATCTTTACTGAAGTTATTCCGCTAATCTGAGGTTGAAAAAAATAGGGTAGAGGGTGGGGTGCTTAATTTCTGAGTTTTACAGTATATTGATAATGGCTGACAAGATAATTATTACGTTACTATAATTTTATGACCCTTCGTTTTCGAACTTCTCACCAGAAACGGCATACATTCTTTATCGAACGCTATGTGAACTGGTATGATTCAAGAGATTCCTTTATTTTTTCTAATAATATATTGGCATATTAATTCCAAAAGATTCGAGTTTTTCTTATACTGTTTCAGAACAACATAATTGCGAATTATTTTTCAAGTAAAAACACGATCCCATAGCAATGTTTATTTTTCACGCGTGCGAATTATGATTTTAAAATAAAGTAATCTGATTGGATCCACACATGTGAGAAATAAACACTGTCCCATAGTCTTAAATCTAAAATTCGATACACATCGAGTAGCTATGGTTTTATTTAAATGTTCTGCACTTGACAGCTTGTTTAAAGACTTTTTTATTATACGATTGTTTATCTACTGAATTCAGCTAAAAATAAAAAATAAACCTAATCGTAATCCAAAGATTTCTGTGGAAATTAACCCAAATTTAGCATAATAATTTGTTGCCTTTGTCCAACATAATTTTCTCCATAAGTTGTTACAAACCAATTATTCAAAATATTGAGGCCCTCAGTAGCACATTCTTCATGTATAAGAAATTTGAACCGTTTTGTCTTAACTAACGATAATGTTAAATCAAATATTTTGAAAAAATCGTCAAGTGCTTCATCATTTGTAAGAAGCTTGTCGCATATTTCGAAAACCACAATAGATTTGTCATTTTCTCTACCTTCGTCATATATCTTAACAAAATTTTCCAATTGCTCTAGCTTTTTGGGATTTTTCGTGATATATGCAGACAAACCACCCAAAAGCGCAGCACCCATAGTACTCGATAAGAGAGTTCCTGTCATACCTAATCCAGCAGCGCCAATTGATTGCAGAATAGCTACTGTCTATAGTTGCCGTCCAAACCTAACTAGTTTGGGACTTTGGGACTTTCTAAGGTATTAACCATTATTTGGGACTAGTT